CAGGCCAAATTCGCCGGCCAGATTTGCCGGAAAAATGCCGGCTGATTTCTCCTTCCCGTTTTTGCTGTCCCCGTGCCAAGTGGACTGGATTTTGTACCTGCGGTAGTTATCCATATACTGGGTCAGCACGTTCCCCACTGTCTGGCCTGGCATGCTATTAGTGGACGCACACAGAATCCGCTGCTTGTGATGGACTCCTTGCACTGCGATGGACTGCCAAAGTTTAGAGTGCAAGACGCAACCCTTAGTATTGAGAAATTTAGAAAAGATTGTCACTTAGAGGTGATGTGGTTTTGTGAATTCCAAATAAACGTGTAGAGTTACACCTTTGAGTCCCCGTCTACTGAGCCATCCTAAGCGAATAAAAAATTCAGTTGATAGTGAGTGTAAAGTCACCGATTGACACGTGGTTTGTAATCACTAGCTTGCTTACTGTTTTGCTTCCATAAGTGGCTTCCACCTGGACAAGTACAGCGACAGAATTATTTCCCATAGAATAAGATCAAATGTCATTGTGATCACGTGGTCTTCCGTTCAGCTGTAACATCCATTGGGTGTCTAGTTACCGTGCCACCCGAAGGGAGCACGGTGTCTGTGATACTGCCAGGTGACCTCAGCTTAGACAGCGGCAGTCGAGATGCAGAGATTGGGTTGGACCATCCGGTCAGTAAAGTCGCGTCCTAACAAACTGAGCTACCTCGAGCTCATTTGATCATTGTCTTTGGGTGAGTGGTGTGTCCACGAAAGTCCTTCTCATAGAGTTTTCTTTTTGTCCTGATGAGGTTGGTTTCGGTAGTTCATACCAAAGGATGATATTTGAAAGCGAGCTGCGTCCCAGTGAAGCTAATAGAGAAACCTTTGTTGACAAGGTAGCAATTTTGAGAATGGCCGGAAGATAGTGAAAATACTATCTGGTGGAGTTAAAATGGGATTATCTATGGATGCGCCTACAACGTTTTTATTCGGGCAGCCCAGGGTCGTAATGGAATTAGAAATTTACCGGTTTTCCGCACCGATATTCCCTCAATCCACGACAGGCGGATAATTTCGCACTTTTGTTTACTTCCGGTCCCAGGACTACTTTGTAGGTTAACTCAGAGGATTTATGATCGTACGTCACAGGGCATTCTCAAGTAATCCGCTTTACAAGGTTCCAACACCAAATAAAACCTTCCGCAGTAGATAAGAGCAATCTCGTGTACTGCAAGCACCTTGTCTGAAAAATTTAAATAAATAATGTCGTTCCGCCTCCTGGTGTCCATCTGGGATGGTCCGATGCCTCGGTTCCACCTCGATATGTGGGAACTTCCGGTAGATGTGGAACTTTTCAATGTCAGAATTGAAGATGCCCTGTGGAGATGAAGGTATGTGGAAGCATATCGCTTCTTTAACGAGCCGTGATTTAACCTGGGAATTCGTGATATCTTCGTAATATTCTCGTAGTTTGAGGTTCACTTGGGTGATCGTTGGTTGAGCACATTTTTAGCTAAGAAATCTCGTTTTTTTCCATCGGCCATTGTGACTTCCGTACAACTTTAAGTCTTCTCTACCGTGAAATATTTTGGTAAATCNCGTAATATTCTCGTAGTTTGAGGTTCACTTGGGTGATCGTTGGTTGAGCACATTTTTAGCTAAGAAATCTCGTTTTTTCCATCGGCCATGGTGACTTCCGTGCAACTTGAAGTCTTCTCTACCGTGAAATATTTAGGTAAATCCTGCTGAAACATTCCAAGACAAGGAGCCCAAAGAACAGGTCTTTTCGCAACGTTTTGTGCACACCAACAATCAGGTTGGTTGCTAATCGAGATAAATACTTGCAGTAAATATATGAACATCAGTTTAGGCGTTTTTGATGAGGCACGTTCAAGGGCTCCTCTCAAGATGCACTTGATGAAACGTTCTTTTCCGTTCTTGAGTTGTATAATTTGCCCAAAGACAATTATGTCTGCGGGTTGATAATTAATGCCTGCTATGCCATCGTTGGTTCTGTGTTATTTCTTCACTTTTTTACAGTAGCATTGCATCACCACACTTACAGAGTTGCTTCCGCTCCAGGAGCAATAGAATCCATTAACCGGGTGGAATACTTGTTTTACTAGGAATCAAGTCTGCAGGAGTAGACTTGAAACTGAGCTTGTTGACCATTAGGTAGTAGGTTTTTTGAGCCGCTGTGCCAAAAAATAGATTGATATTTTGGAGTCCGTGCTGAAGGGCCACGAAGCGCTGTACAACTGTTTCATCCTTATTAGGAATTAGTATCAGTACGCATCTCACGAAAAATCAGTGCCTCGAATCCTTGAGCTCCCGACTTAACCGTCCGGCCACGAGCTTCTTAATAGCAGTGTGGTTAACTCACACTTAGACAAGATATAGCGTCACCCATCTTTCAATCACGGGATCCACATCACGCGGTCACACGTGTTGACTGGCTCATCGAGCAATGACTTTTCACACTCATCAGGCGAAGTTTATTCTTCTAATGAGCTACCATAGATTCTTGGTAGTGCGGGGGCGATTTGGAAATTTTTGTGGCGATTTTGTCCCGTACTTGCAGCGGTCACGTGTTCAAACCACTAGCCAGGAGGTGTGGATTCGAGACTGTCTGGAGTTTCGCAAGATGCGCACTGCTGATGATTTCCCAATGAGGATGAAATAACTGTACGGTGCTTCTCGGCCTTTCAGTATGGATTACACTTACAGAACGAAGTCTCCACGAAAATCTCCAAATCTCGCACTACCAACAGCAGATTGATATCGCGATAAAGACGGTAGGTCACCAGGTTAATTTCGGCCAAAGAGATTACACAGCCATCCTCTTCCTGAAGGAGAATCACTCTTCAAAACGACAATCCTCGAGATCCACGAAGTGGCGTTAAATTCCTTCTCCAAATAAAGGCCACTGCTTTGGCAACAGCGAAACACTTTGGTTTGTGGTGTACTCTCATTGTTGTTGTAAGTAAAGCTAGTCTAGGTTGAAGCTATGAAGCGCCGTCCTGACGTCTTATCTTTGTTAGAAATCATCAGCGGCGCGCATTTCAAGAAAGCCCCGGCTCACGTTAATCTTTTGGCCAGCAGTTCGATCGATTAACCGGTGGTTTACGAGTGTCTGATCAGCTTAGTGATTAACTTGCACTTAAAAAACATTTTAAACAAAGGTGGAAAACAAATTTGAAGTCAGCAATACTCTATTATGCTCTCGTTCTTGATTGATTTTGACTAAATGTGATTCAGAAAAGTTGATTTGATGGGAGAAAAAACAGTGAATTAAACAGTTGAGAAAGTTTGAAGTGATAAAAGTGTGTCGGAAGATGGAATTAAAAATTTGGTACGACAGAACTTTTAGGTTTTCTTGGAATTCGTTGCGCAGTCTGAAGCTAAAATATGATGTGATGTTTCCCATCTTTAGGGATTTTTTTCACAATCAGCAGAATGACAGTATTTCACCATTATTTATTCTGACTGGCTTGTTTCAAATCGATTTGCTAACAGAATACTGTCCTGCTCAGTTCTCCAATCACTACCCGCCTAACTTCGCATTTAGAAAATATATTTAAAGAAGATAGGACACTCAACTTTCAATTACAACTTTAGAAGTAATTAATGGAGAATTCAGATGAATCCCTTGTTAGTAACATTTTTGAGTGAAGACGCCACACAAGGTTCGTCTTATATTCCTCTGAGTGAATCAAATTATAAGGCCAATGAAGACCGCTATCATTGTTTTTTTTAGTTTCTGTATTCCACCAAGTAAACGTAATATCTTGATAAGGATTACCAAAAAATTCGGAGCTATGCCTGTTTGCTGGGCCGAAATTCACCAAACTGGCATGCAGTTCTTGAAAGCTGGTTGAAAACTTTGAAAGTTAGGGGGACATCAGTGAGCATACTTTAGCGTTTTGAACTTGTTCCCGAGGTGATCTTTCTAAATCACAGTCAGACTAACACGAACGAGAGATTCGGTTGGTACATGGCCCACGATGGTGCCATTTGACTCGGCTACTTTGAGGTGACTATCCACCTGAGCAGTTTATTTTGGGACAGAACATTCACTAAAATGTCCTTGGTTATCCGGACACAACCATTCAGCTTCTTTTTTTGGAATCTATTACATTTACGAAGCTCGTTTTGTAATTGCTTGTATAAGTTTGAAACTAGAGAGCGATGATTTTCGTCTGTTTCTCTTACGCTGCCGATCATTCATTGTTTGGCCACCCACCACATCTCACTCGTGATACGCCTTGTTACAAAAACAGCCAACAAACCTAAATAGACTCCTTACTTTTGTGACAAATCTACCCCGTTGTTCTGCATCTCTTCCGGATCTGTGCTGGTGACAGTTACACAGCTGTCCTTCTTCGGGTGTGCGATTTGCCTGTGTCACCTCACCAGGACCTCCCAAGCGATTCCGCCTGGTGGGTGGCTTGTCGTATCACGGCCGCCTACGGCCTCACAAATCAATCATTTTCAGGTGAATTTTAAAACGTAGCTATGCCACAAAACTTACACAGTTTTACCCTTCCCAAAGGATACGCAGGTGAATAGGGGATCAAATTAGTCTAAATACGGTGCAGATTTGATCTGACAAGACACGCATGAGTTACATATATTCGCCCACATTCGTGTGTGTGCTCCGAGATCCTGTTCACTTGTTCATGAGATTCTCGGGACATACTTGAATTTGTAGCGGCGCTTCATTTGTTTGGCGGGCATTTAATTTCTGTGTGACTACTGTGCAACACAATTTCTGTTATTCAAACCTTGGGAACTCTGCACTATAAACATTGTATGGACTTTTCGGACACGAACCTTCATCGGTCATTCCTTAACTGTTTCACAGTAAGCTGAAATTAACGAATCAGACACGATTCGGACGGCCAGCTGATACCAAAATTAACTCAAACATTCTATGTTGCTTAGTTTACAGTATACCGTTTTGCACATCTTTTCATGGATGCTGTGAAAATTTGCCAAAAATTATCCTGGTGATCTTTGCTTTCCAGTTAGCTCAGTACGGATTCTTGGACGATCAGATATTACCCTCAGCCTGGGTCGGTCCCTATCCCTCGCAGAGGCCGGTTTCGATGGGACCCACGCTTCCATCTTTCGGTCCCGGAGCAGTTCCAACTACGGCGCATGCACCTTCGCCATTCGCACATCCCCCACAGAGCGCTTTTTATGGTCCTCCCACATCTGTGCCTTCCGCTGCTGCCACCGCTCCTCCTCAGGTGCCTTTAGTCGTTCACATGCCTTCTGAACCTACACCACCGGGATCAGACCAGCCGGAGTACTTCAGACCACGGGAGGAGTTTGGGCATTCTCCGCTGGCCTATAGCTTGTCTGCTGAACTTGCCAGTGTCGGGAAGCATCGATTTCGGTTGACTTATGTTACCGATCGATTGCTAGGTGAGATTGATATTTTGGTTCATTAGGACGTCAATTCAATAGTCCGCTTTTTATACATATCTAAAAAAGTTGGCCGCAACTTGTAACAAACAGGTTGCTCTAACGGAGTCTCACGTGAGCGCTGGCTACGCCTAGCATCAGCCAGTGGTCCCAACTCATTGCATGCATCAACAAAATGTTACAAACCCTTTACGTCGTCATATGATCAACCAGATAATCTGAAATGAAGAACTAGATGAATGAAAACATTTTGTGGTTTCGAGGACATATCCGTCTAATTTATAGCTTATCAGCTGTGCCCGGATAATGAATGCTAATTGAACCCGAGATAGATGGTCAAAGTGTAGCCCGAAGGACAAGGGGAATACGACATTTTGTGTCAAATTTGGTGTCTTTCACAAAGAAAAGTTTGTTATACCTCAGTGGAGTTCATCCACGATTTCGAGCCACCGTCCATCTGGAAAGGAAATACCAGTGGTAGAACTTTCCGGTACGGTTATTTGCATCAAGTATTCAAGCCCATGAAAATAACTGAGGGTATCAAGTTTCTAATAATGATGAACTTTTAACAGATATGCCACTTAAACGGTGTGAGATTGTGTCCATATTCCTGAAGGTCGCTCAGGTCGATAAAAAAACTCCTTGTCTCTCCCGAAGACTTTCATTTTATTAGGTGAAGTCGGTGAAGACAGTCCTCCTTGATGCCGTTCCGAACTTCATATTAGTTGTCCAAATTTCCCCGAATTTTGCCGACTGGATGACCTTGGCGGGCGTTGACCTTCTGATGTACATTGTGAAATCCTGGGATGGTTGGTCGATAGTATTTGAAGCAGTTTCAAAGAGTTTTTGACTGATAGTATTGTTTTGGAGATCGTTTCAGGCTCCAAATCTCCTTACATCCTCAAATGACAAATCAAGCTGCAGATATTATGGTTGTACTCCCTTTCCTCCCTTAGATCGAAAGCAGCGTTTTAACCTGACAATCCCTTCGTGATTATCGAGGTTGAACATGCACAAAGCATTGGAGAGGCTCGTTAGTGTCATCCGCAAAGCGAGGCACTGTCACATCCGATGCAGAACAAACAGCTGACATCGCTGACAAGGTTGCATTGTGTGGGTAGATCGGCTATAACGCTAAGATAGTGCTTGAAAATCTATTTTCACCATCGCACCGTAAACGCTCCTTCACCGAAATTCAGGGATCACAGATGATGTCTCCGCAAATGCAATTGAGCTCTGGAGATTTCTGTGAATCAGCAGCGGCTCACTGTACAGCCTTTAATTAGCGCCAGTCAAGCATACCCGATGCCACCATACAGTGTGTGAATAATACTCAGATGCGTTTTTAGATGCTGAACTACAAAGTCCAGCATAAGTGATTTGAATAACAAGTAACTTGATATACACGCATACGTCCGATTTTATCGGAACTGTTGGGCTCTAATGCCCGTTGATTTTTTTCAGACTAAAGAAGCAGCTTATTTTGCAAATGTACCAACACATATGTGGGCGGCGTGAAAGTCTAGTGATGTTAATTCGGGTGACATTTGTCTAGGGTTTGCCTGTATATTGTGGGTTTCAATTGAGAAAAATCCCGCATAAAAGTACACAGAAGAAAGCAAATTTAAGACGAATTCCGTTACATACCTGTCCACGATGGACACAGTGAGTGTAACACACCACAGCAGGTTACTTTGGATGAATTTTCGGGAAAAAATCTTTCAAGAAGGCACAAGCATACTTTAAAAAACACCCTGGGCTGTCGCTCAACACTTTTTGTTCCGTGAAAATGCTTCATAATCTCCACAAGCCAAAAAATTGAAGAACGTGGGACCTGTGAGAGTTCAGGACATTTTTTGCGGCTATCAACTGAGTAGTATCCTGTATCTTCGAACCATGTTTGGGAGTTTCAATTAGGATTTTTACCCAATACGCCACCCACAGTGACCTTCTCGATCATCCCTGAGGAGATTTCAACCCTCAACAGTCTGAATGAGTTTTTTCAGCCATGATACAAATCGTAGTGCGTTACTCTGATTGCGATTTGCCAATCAAATTTACTGCAGAGAAAACAACCTCCACGCTCTGCGCATTGTTGAATGTTCGATGACGCCAGACCAGCAGTGATTCATTACTTGGACATAAAACGCAGACCTTGTTTCGATTACTCAGCCCATACTGTGTTCCGTTCCGGTCACTATTGGTAATATTGTGCATATTGGGACACTTAAGCAGCCATAAAATGCAAAAAGACAGACAAGAATCCGGCTATAAGAGCGTGGACTATTCCACATTGTAAGTGACTTGGGGCAGCGGCGTTTATCCTCATCCACGAAAACAGTCTACAGGCATTCAATAAGATGCCGATAGGATGCCCTCATTTGAGAAGGTAGCATTTAAGTGTCGGCCAAATAGATCAGACAAAGACATGTAAATTCCGATCTAACGTCCGTCATCTATATCAGCAGCAAAGCAGTAAGTGGGATTGAAATTGTCGTCTATTCGCCAGGCGTACTATAGGAAGTTTAAAATACCGACACTACTAGACCCGACTAGTAGTCTTTCAACCAAATGATATTACTGCAATTTCTACTTGTAACTTGGCTTTTTGAGCATCGATTCATCAAACGCCCTGATAAATAAGTAAATCATTGGATGCAGCGTTGGTAAGTCTACAGAAAGACTTGATAAACAATTTGTAGTTTCGAAGTTTCGCTTTTGACAAGTGAATAGGTTAACAAGCTGACCAGGTTTTAAGGTGGATGAAGAGCCCATCAACAAGTCCTGTTTTGATTAAAATGTTGCCCAGTTTTAAACCTACTGATTTTTTGCCAGGCCATTCTGAGATGATGACGTCGCAATCGGTTCCAAACTTATTCCCACTACGGACCATGGGAATATAAAAACAGAATATTGTTCAGAATTCGACATTTAAAATTGGACACATTTAAAGTGCTCACGAAGGAAACTACCACGAGTAGAACAGTAGGTAGTAACTGAAATGGGATAATTGCCGAAAGGTGTGCGAATAAGCAGACGTGGATGGAATAAATCTAGGCTGGTTCGTTTGCAATCTGTGACATTTTGGCCTGAAAGGTTCTTTAACAAGACAGTTGGTACAGATTAGGTGTTAGCTAATCTGATAGAGAGAATCTCACAGTCAATTCTTGCACTTATTTCTTCGCAAAGCTGATGTCACCAGAAAAAACCGCAGGAAGTTCTATGACGTTGTTTTGATTTCCGAGAAGGTCGCTCACCTTCATACCTTAAATGTAAGGACACATGCCTGGCGGTTACTACTTCACATAGAGTTCGCAGTGTTCCCTTTTGTTCTCAAATGCATCTCGATGCATTCACTGACAAATAGGTGACGTGGCCAAACCAAAAAACCGCGTGAAACAAGGGGTAATAAAATTCTTTCCCTGAAGCCTCTCCACGGTAACGGGTTATATGACCTTGCTTTGCGGCTGTTCTATTCAGCCATAAGGGTACTAGTGAAAACTTTTGCCCGTTTGACCGAAAATGCAGTGGATGTTCGCTTAGAAAACGGCAAATGTGTGTGATTCAAATCACATTTTATGAAAGGACGGGATCAGTAGGTTTGCTAAGGATGTTAACAGTTCTTGTGCCAAGGCCATGATCTCAAGACAAATCATCAGTTAATTAGCCTAAACGCACAATCTAGGAGTCCTATCTGACATAGACGTGTAGTCTAGATGAATGTAAGAAGGTCATGAATAATTGCGGCGAAACTGCATTCTACGAACTTCACCTGCGTTTGTTGGGTAGTCGCAACTGTTCAACATTCAGTATATTGAATTAGAGGTTGGCAGACAGCATAAGTAGGTAGACCCTGTTTCTATAAGAAAATAGCAGTAAATCGTGGGGAGAATTAAAGAAAGGCTTACGGCTAAACTGAACATTGGGCAGTTAGCAACACAGGATGGCACAGAAAGGGCTGTGTGCTATCGGATAAATAAACGTGAAAAAATGTTCACTTCAGAGTGGGACAAATTTTCAACAACAAACCCAGAAATGAATGTGAACTAATCGACCGTAGAAAAACGGTTGATATAGAGACGACTTTGTATAAAGAAAGAATAGTTCAGTCTTGAAATTTGAGCATTCACCGGGAGGGCAATGAATTAGCCTGAGGAATAGGGAAGCATAAATAATTACGCCACGTAATTAACAAGGATGAAAAATAGCTAGAGTTGATGATATGCGCGAAATCAGTGCAGTACTATCCCTGCAAGCACTGAGAACAAGCAACAAAGCGTTCCGTTTCTCTGTGATCCAAATGCAGCTTCAGAGTGTACTTATGATCAGATAATCAATAAATCTGAGCTGGCAATTTTTAATATAATGGCCCACTGAATATTCGTCTCTTGAGGACGATATACACAAAGCTTCTGCTCGATCAACTATTAGTTACTAAAGTGCTAGTCCGTGACATTTCGTGTGAAGCATTTTTCTACACTGAGCATATATTCCGTTTACCCCAATCTAATATGCCGGCCTTGAGACAAAGTGTCTAGAAAATGGAGAAAAACCGCGCGATTTTAGTCGAATTTCGTGCGCCAGGCAGCTGTCAACAAATCTGAAATTTACTCATAATTCGCGTTTAACGATATCTGGGGAACGCATGTTCATTTTCGAATAGTAAAACAATTTTATGGAAAATAAGTCTGAAACACAAGGTCACACTCGGACAAGCTTTGGATTTTATTTGCTGACTAAAGCGGAAAATGATACTAGCTACTTGCAAACTAATTTGACTCTTGGAGAGACTCACCTGGAACTCTTTTTGATCTCCCGTTTATGACGTTTTTGAATAATTGAGTGTCCTGTCGCTTCATTTCTCCGTTGTTTGCTAGTGAGTGTATTTCGCTAATTTCGTGCTATTCAGGTTCAAGCAGAACATGAGGTTGACGAAAACTCGGGAACTGCGTCCGCTTGATGAGCCCAAGAGGAGCAAAGTCGGTCGAAGAGCTTTCAGC